ACGACTTAAATTAATATGTCATTCAGGTGTATATTACCAGTTTCTTTAATAAGTATGAACCGTTGTCTACTGTTACCTGTCGCCTCTACCCTTCCCATCTCACTTGCTTTTGCTACCCACCACTGTTCGTGATCAGTGCGTGGGCTACTTATCAGCCTGCGCTTAAGCTGACTCCTCTCCTTATCATGTTCAGAGCCAGATGGAATGAGTTTTCGAGCATCTATCAGTTCAGCAGATGCTAGTGATATTCACTGCTTCCCATCAATTTCACTGGCAGATATCACAGCTGTTCCCACGACATTTTGGATGTTATTCAAAGCTGCTTCGGGTAGAGCATCATTTACACGGATGCCTAATTGTTTTTCTAGTTGCTCCTGAAATATATTCTTGACTTTTTTTGTCATTAAGTAGAACTCTGAAGGGTTTCCTGGCCGTGTCTTTCTTACCTTCAGCAAGCCGCATATAAATACGCGTTCACACTAGGTCATGATATGAATCTAAATATCTTGTCCAGAGTGAGCGACAGTTTTTGACCGTGCTTCTCCATAGGTGGCTGACAGCGATGTGGTCTATTTGGGTTTAGTGTTCAGTTGTCTTCGGGAGTTGCCATGTCAAAAGATTTTCCATCCTATGCATAAATTTGGTATTCTTCAAAAATAGGCAGTTATCTAAACACAGTTGCAGAAGATGGTTTCCATTATCTGTTCTTTGAGCCACGACACCACAAGATTCATATGAGTATGAGCATTAAGATTATCGCTCATTGTTATTAAATCACAGCGCTTAGCTTTGTGAAGAAAGTATAGAAGCTATCCATCAAATTCATGTTCTACCTCATCTGAATTGCAGTGAGTGGGAGCGTAGGCAGAGACAGCGAAGAGGTAACGGCGAATGTCCCTAACTTTCCGATTCCTTACTGTCCCCTGCAACTGAACAGCGCGTAAGTGACTATCTAGTGAGATCTATTCTCAGAGAGCCAGTCCTGGTTTAGAACTTAACACCATACTTACACCAACGAAGCGACGGGAAGCGGCAGAAGGGCTTTCAGATAGATGAGGCGTAAATTGCGTCAATCCATTAATCTGAGAGGGTGAGGTCAACAAATGGCTCCACCGGGATCCTGTATGTGCGTTACAGAGACGTAGCATACACCAATGATTATACACGTTGAAAATTTTTCACGAAGTCAGTCACTAGTGGGTACATTGTACAATTATTTTTGAATTGGAGTTATGGAGATCAGTGTTTTTACACGTGAGGAAATTCTCGAAGTTCTAGTGATAAGACGTGACCAGCGGAGTTTCACCCTGTGGGATGTAGACCATAACTACCTACCCTAGATTGATCAGACTTAGACATTAACACTGTTGGATGCCGGGCCAGTAGTCCGGAGGTTAGTCATTCGCGCACAAGACTGAAGATCCTGGGTTCGGATTCTTAGAGGTGCATGAGTCGTTAATGTACGCTGCTGATAAGTGCCAAACCAAGATGAAACGGCCATCCAATGCTTCCAGGTTTCTAATGGAGGTCCAACAAGACTGACTGATGATTTCAAAATGTAAAAACACTAATCTCCATAACTATGACTGAAAAGAAATCATATATCGATGTCAAAAGTTTCTTAGCTACTAGCTAAGAAAACTTGTTGTACAATTTGGTTCAAGGTCGGAACATTAAGAGCTCCAACGTTTGTTCAGAACGGAGTTCTAGGAGACCAGGAATATTATTTTGTCTGCTCAAATCATTTGCATCAGCGGCGTGAGGCGATAGAGATATACGAGAAAGGTTAGTTGTAGAGACAAGAGCGTCATTAAAATGTTGGGAAAAGATTCTATTGCGTGAAAGTTGATCACCTGTGCTGTTTGACGTATGAGGGTGAATGTTACTTTCCGGCTTCCCGCACCGTGGAAGGGTGTTTCTTAGGGAACCTGAGAAGGAAGTTGAATTACTGTTGGTCTTAGAGACCTGGGATTGTGACCGCAGACCATAACCAGGTAACCTGCACCTAACAACATGACTCAACCCACTTTTCAGTGACTTCATGGATTTCTGTCCAAAGTTAGTGTTTGCTAGAAATAGTTGGTTATCTGAGTACATTTGCAACAGACGGTCGCCATTGTCTGTTCTCTAAGCCACGACACCATAAGATCAACCTAGGTGTCTTTCATTTTCACTCAGTCTACCTACTTGAGCACTAAATTTACTAACCATTATTACTATATCAGAGCGCCTAACCTCTTGGAAGAGGTCCGGAATCTTTCTGTAGAACTCATCTGAACTGCAGTCAGAGGGAGCGTAGGCAGATATGACGAAGAGGCAACGGCCAGTGTCTCTATCCTTCCGAGTCCTTACTATCCCGTTCAGTCGGACAGCGCACAAGCGACTATCTATTGGGATCCAGTCTAGGAGCGCTAGTTCTGCTCTAGGACTCGATGCTATACCTACACCAGCGAGACCCCGTGAAGAAGCATCAGGGCTTCCAGATACGTGAAGAATGAAACGAGTTGCTTCTTTATCTTGACATAAAGAGGTCAAGTGAATGGAGCTACTCGGATACTGTATGCACGTTTCCGGGAAGCAGTATACATCTACGCCGAGAAATTCCAAAGTCCTAGATGAGGAAGCCTGCTGTCCTATTTGACACAATGTCTGAATATTAAAAGCTCCAACCGTGGAAGGTTGTTTCTTGAAGGACCTGAAAAGGAAGATAGATTAGTGTTGGTCTTAGAGACTTAGAAGCGCGACCGCAGAGTCCAAGGAACAAATCCTTGAGGTCTGTCACTCACGGCCTTTTTATGAGAATTTTTTATAGTATTAGCTCCGCTCCAGTTTAAAGGGCCTTACCGTCGGAGACGGAAATCTGTGAGGTAGGGTGGACCGTTTCTAACTCCTTCCTTCCTTGTTCGAAGGCAGCATCGCTGCAGATGCTAGTTGTCCGAGGGAAACAGTTTTCTTCTGTCACACCCCTCTACACTCATCAGTACGACTTTGCCCTCAGATCTTGATTATGACTATTTAATAGTTAATTATTTTAACTGAATAGATATGTCCAAAAATCATAACCATTTCTGGTGCAAATTTGTCATGAATTTTCAAGTGTATTGTAAAACTTGTGAACTTTGTAATTCAAATTCAGTTCCTAATTGGTCCGAATGATTGTAAGAGAAGACTAAAACGTTTTTTGATAAAGGCAATAACTGTTCTCATGAACAGACTAATATACTCATGTAATCTTTTTTTGACTAAAATGAATGTACCTTTACTCAAGAAAGAAATTGCCTATACTATTTCCGATATCAAAGGAATATTTTCTCAAGTAAAAAGAGAAACTTTTTATTGATATTGAAACTTGGTACTCCAATGCATCTAAATGATATTTATTGAGTTGATTCGTTACAGTAAGAAAATTGCAGAGATACTTATTTTACTACTTTCGTATAAGCAGTAGTATAATAAAAACAACGAATTTATTTCGTGATTCTATAACTTTTTACTCTTTTAGGTTGATGATAACTTTAATATGAAGAAGTTTAGCAATCTTTGTGCTGATAATTTCAACAATTTAGTAATATTATGATAAGTCCTCCACATTCATTTGTTTTTTCACTAAAATGTCATAAAAATCATAGTTTTTGCACACTGAAATCGTGAATTAATTACTGTAGGACCATCATTAGAAACCTGGAAGCATCGCACGGACGTTTCGTCCTCGTTTGGGACTCACCGTCATTTCGTTTCCAGTTTCATAATGTTAAATTCACTGAAGTCATTTAGTGACATCGCGCAAAATCCTTAGATTGATCAGAGTTAGACATTAACACCTATGGATACAAGCTCAGTTGTCCAGAGGTTAACCGTTAACAGGCAACACCGCAGGTCCTGGATTCGAATCCTGCTAGATGCAGAAGCCGTGGATGTTCACTGCTGTTGAGTCTCATACCAGAACGAAAGAGCTATCCAGTGCTCCTAGGTGTCTAATGGTGGTCGGACAAGGATTCCTTTGTACTCACATCATAGATGTTCAATTTCAAATTACCTAACAAGAAATCCAGTTTTCATACTGAACATAATGTATAATATAAAATTTCAGTGAATTAAGATTTGCCTACATATAAATAAAAAAAGTGAACTGAGGAGATTTTGTTGTCGTGACCAAATTTTATTTTCCATATGCTTCATCCCTTTTGATATGAATATTGAAGCACTTTTACGCTCACATGACCCTAAACATACTGATTGCAGTGTAATCCAAGTGACAATAGAATTAGTGGTGTTGAGCTTTGAACGTAATGTACTCAATAAAGTTGGCATATCACTTGATATGATAGTATGCCTTCATCAAATAAGGTGCTTAAGTCATATATTACGTATGCATCATGTTATGCTCGTCACTTGTTATGTTTAAAACTATAACGAGTTCACTTTAGTCGATAAACGAGAACAAGACAATGAACAAGTGATACGGTAGGCTACTCCGATCCGTTGCCCCAAACTAACTACAAACACCCAGTAAACTCACTGAATTCAAGCACACAAATGGCGTTTATTCATACATCATAGAAACGTCCTCGGGCGAGTCATAAAGATAGCTTACTAAAATAACATATCAGCCAATCACAGCCAACTATTTTCCTGATGGGAAACATGAAACAATGAAAATGAAATTTTGGAATATCCAAAAATGATTACATGTTTGTTTTGCATTTTTTTTTCAAATGGATTTATTTTCAGTTATTTTCCAAAATTATTCATGAACTAAGAGGGGGGGGGACAATGAAATTAAACCGCAACCAATTTTTACATTGACAAAAAAATATTTGTTTGTTTTTGTTTCTCTGTTATTATATAATCAAAATATCCAAAAAACCATTGGATGCTTCTTAAATTAAGCAAAAAAAACTTATTTATAATAAACAGCATTATTAAATTCTTATGAAGTTTTAACTTGAGATGAACTTAATGAAATTTTATATGATGATTTATACAAACGAGGTGCTAACCTTCGTGAAAATGTCCTACTGGACATTCTGTCATCAACTTCAACCTGAAGAACATCAACATCATTACGATTATTATTATCAGTGGTATCGATGGTTTCTTTCAATTGATCCACTGTTCTTGATTGTAAATAATTTGTTTTCGATGCTAATGATGTTGAATAAGGCTGTGTTGGCTTTGTTGTTATATACTGATAATAATGTTGTGAATAAGGAGATGTTTTTGTCGGTGATTCCTTCTGAGAAAACAAAAAAAATCAATTTTAATTTCAGAAATAAAATAAGACTATAAAAAACACACTTCTCATTCTCCTCATTTATTTTATGAGGTTTGAAATGGGTGGAGTAAATGGGTAATGGAGAACCAACAAGTTCTCTCTCTGTGTGTGTATATGTGTTTGTACGCAAAAAGAACACATTGTACAGTCGTCTCTTAATCAACTATTCTAACTTTTTTACTCTGTTTTAAAGGGTTAGGATTTTTTTCAAAAAAAACTCCATTGTAAGTAATCATTTAATTTAATTTAATTTAATTTTTATCTATCTTAAGTTTTTTCATGATCTAAAATTAATTTTTTACTAGTCTATCCGATTGATTGATTAATTAGGGATTATTAACATTTTAGAAAAAATTTACATTATTCAATTAGTTTTGTAATTGTTTTCTTTACATAAGTAATTTTTATAATTAAATTCATTGTATGTGTAATCCTAAATTGTCGAATTTAACTTTACATAAGTAAGCAATGCTCACTGAAGATTGTGAGTAGATGTGGATGATGTTGAGCAAGACCATGGATTGATTGATCGAAGTTAGACATTAAAAATGTGAGATGCTAGCTCAGTGGTCTAGAGGTAAGGCGTTCCTGCACAGGACCGGAGGTCTTGGATTCAAATCCTACGAATAACAAGAGTTGTGGATGCACACTGCTGATGAATCCCATACTGTGACGAAAAGGCCATCTAGTGCTTCCAGGTTTCTAATGGTGGTTATCTAAAATGGATCAATTCGCAATTTCAAAAGTAAAATAACTAACTACCAACTGTTTTAGAAAAATTATTAAACTAAATCTTCAGTGGGATTCTTCTGACAACGAAACATCTGCATAAGATGAAAAGAGATTACAGAGAGCATATCTAACAAAGAATAGTTAGTCTTTTAAAGGCAGTCATGAGATAAAAGACGTTCGTCGGTCGCAAGTAATTGATATGTTCGTCGATTGATATGCTTGAAGCTATTACGAGTTCACCTTAGTCGGTAAATGAGAGCTAGGACAAATGATCTAGTGATACGATAGGCTACTCATATCCGAGTGTGTCAAGGACCCACTGAGTAGACGGTGAAGTCTTGATATGGCGTATTGTATTGTATAGGCACCCAGTATATACGAGGTTGACAAGCACACAAATCGAGTTTATTTATCCATCATAGAAACGTCCTTGAGAACACCACAAAATGGCCAACTAAAATAACACATCAACCAATGACAGTCAGGGATTTTCCGATTGGCGAATGTAATCTCAAGGTCAGTTGATCAGCCCATAGAATTCAAAATTAGTACCCTTATCAAGTGAGTTCTTGGGATCCAAAGTCCTCAACAGTAATTGGCAGAAAACTTTGAAAATATGTATCATGCTAATTAGCACCCATCAAGTAAGTCATACCTTCAATCTATGCAGAAAAATGATGCTCCCTAAAGGATTAAAACTGTGAAAGTGGTAACAACAGTTCCATGAAAAATAAAATTACACCATACTGACGAGTCCCAAATACCGCAAAACCTAGGTCAATGAGGATTTTCTGTTGACTGACTTCAATACAATCTTTATCAGCACTAAACAGCAAGACGAACTGGATATTGGTCACTAAGTGTTGATCTATCAATATTAATCATTGTATGATGTATTTTTACTAATAAAATTCAAAACCGTCAACTATAAGTAACAAAAAATTGTTTCAATAAACTACAGTTAGAAAACTGTCATAAGTCATTGGTTTGAGTTATATGGAATAGAAAACGAATGGTTAGAGCTTGTAGGCTGATTCAGTTCAGTGAGTCTGTGTACTTAAGTAAATGATATGAAGTAGCGAAAATACAGCATTAACATTTCCATAACTCTGAACTGGATAATTTATTTTAGGAGCTAACAGTGTCTTTCTAGAGAATATCATCAGCTGTCGATTTACTTCACTAGTGTTAAATCAGTTTGCTTTGACGGGTCTGTTTGTAACTGATTGTTCTGAATTGAAATCAATTAACCACATGATTAGAAGTCAACAAAACTAGACAATCGACTTGAAAATAAAGCCAAAAGACGAAATTTAAACCCGCAAATACAACCTACTCCATAAAATCTAACCCAAACAGAATAAATAACAAACTCATTTCCACATGAATCAGGCATTAATGATATTGTTCAGAATGAAAATCATAGCTACTAAATTAAACTAATTGAAAGAGCCGATTCTTTTTCGCTGACTAATAATAATCAGCAATCAATCAATTAGAAATATATACCAGTCCATCAGAAAATCAGTGAAAACCTTGGAGAACACATTAATAACGTCTGTTAATATAAAGTTGAATGATACAGGATAGAGTCCATCAAAGTTAGTAAGTTACAACGTAGAATTTCGTACGTAAGTACATAAGTTCATGTTGCTATATTGCATTAGCACAGAGAGACACAACTGCCAATTCAAATCCAATAGTGCTAAAGATAGTAGAAGTGTTAGCAGTAATCGAAGAGATTAATGTTCGAAGATATTATTCAACAATTAAAATCTAGCAAACGAAACTTAAAAAGAGAAAGACAGAGGTGATGACGAATTCAGAAGATTAGAATTTAACAGAACACAAAGAGTGGATGCACCTGTACCATTGCAAACAATTTTGAGCTGTGTCATTCAGAATATCTACCCATCGATTACTATCATCTCGTGAGCCTCAATCAAGTAATCAACACCTTTTAACATGACTCAATTCACTTGTTAGTGATTTCATGGAATTTGTGCCATGTTTTGATTTGGCCACCCCTAGCTTTCTTCCAACTTACACGTACGCCACAAAGCATAGCTCGACAAGGTAGTCGATGGCTGGATATTCTCGTAACACATGTCCCAAGCACTTCAACTGGTCAAGTTTCACTATTTCACCTGCTTAAAAATTAACAACTCTAATTTGAACAGTAAATCAATAATAAACATTAATTTTCTTAAGAGTGAATTTTTCATTTGATTTTTATTCATTCATATATTTTACACAAAAATATCAATGAAATTCACGTGAAACTAACCAGCTTTTTATCACGTTCACCATTATCCATAATAGTTACATCATCATGTCTAAATGAAACAGATTTCAAGTTTTCTCTATTGATCATGTAATTATTATTATTACTATTATCATTATTTATGCTGGATTCAATTAATAAATCTGTTCTATTAGTTAACGAAGCTAAAGAATCACCTAATTTATAAGCACCAACACCGGTAGCTGCCAAATATGCAGCTGAACTACCGGCTGTACGATTATTTTTATCATTATTATTTTTATTACTATTTACATTTATATTAGTAGTATTATTATCAAACTTTGAAATAAGTTTTTTTGTATTATTATTATTATTATTATTACTATAATACGATGATGAATCAATGAGTAGATTTGATGCATCATGTGTATTTCTATTTGTCAACTGTGTAGCATAAGCTAATGATTTTGATTTTACATTCATCTGATCCAATGGATGATAATTAAAATGAACTGTAGACATTGATGATTTATTTTGACGAGGCATTATTAATTCACCAGTACTCAGATTACTTGATATATTTCTATTCAAATTTAATGATTTAGTTGCTTCTGCTAATGACGATAAACTAGATGGATAAAGTAGATCACCAATACGCATTGAAGATGTTTGTGCCATCAAACTATCAGACAAATTTAAATAACTACTCTTTGTATTAATCATAGCAGTAACATTGTTCGATTGATTTGATGATCTACTATGGATAGGGAATGTTTGCATTGATTGAGATAAAGGACGATAACCATTATCATATAATAAATCATTTGAAATGGATGATTTACGATGATAATTCAATGGTAAATATTTCATTTGATTATAATTATTATAATTGGATAAATTGCTTCGATTTAGAGTTGTTGTTGTTGTATTAGGCAAATTTGTATCGATTGGATCAAGGATCATGTTATTAATGTCAAGAGTTAAATTTGTATACTCGTTATTATCATAATTATTAGTAGTATTGTTAGTATTACTAAAGTTTTTGTCTTGATTCATATCAGGCGTCAATTGATACCAATCTCTTGGTTGAGGTGATAAATCTTTAATTGATGTGGTTATTCTGTTCATTGATGATTGCCTTGATGTATGTTGTTGTTGTTGTTGCTGCTGCTGTGAATGATTACGATTCATTGGAGTCGACAGGAAATCATCCCTTCGAAGATTTCGTTGTTGTTGCTGTGAATTTGTTAATGACAAATCAGAATTAGATAATTTCGGATAAGTGATAATATGTTTACGTGATTCTGTCTGATATTTCATAGATGATGATGGTATTTGATAAGTTCTCAGAGGAAATGTCTCATTTGTAGTAGTAGTTGAACTAGTAGTCGTCGGAGTAGTCATAGTACTACTATTCACATTACAAGCATAAGGGAAATAAATGTTCGATTTCGATGTACGATTATAATTGTTACTACTATTATAGGTAGATTGTTGAGATTTTGGGAGTAATGTTGTTGTCGCCGGTGTTGTTGACCCTGGTCTATTTTGATTGAAATAAAGTGATTTAGATCGATTCACTGTTGATAAATGCATTGATGGTTGTTGATTCTCATCGATAACATATTCCAACGGCGGTGAATTTTCACTGATATACTTAATTGAATATTGATTTTCAGGATTCAATGTATTCACTTTCATTGTATTGAATTGTTTTCGTACAGGTTTCATGGAGTTCTTCATCGCCGCTTCACTTTGTTCAGGATCAATAAAACTAACTGATGATTTTATAGTTGTTTCATTAAATTTATTCATCTTTTCTTCATCATATTCTTCACGATCATTTGAATAAGAAGGATTAATAGCAGAGATTGTTGTAATTGGACTATATGAATCATTGTTTAGAAGAGCATTTTCTGAATTGGTATTTTCAAATTGTTGGGTATTCTTATTATTAGTTAAATGTTTCTCTGGTAATTTATTATTCAATGTCTCATTGTAATCATCATTATTGGATTTTTGATTAATTGGAGTTCGTGTTATTGAAGATGGTTCATCTTCCGGATTGCCAATTGATTTTATACCATTCGCTCCAAGCCAATTACCAACTTTAATTTTTTTTTGATACATATCATCATTGCCAAACTCTGCCTCCTCCACATCATCATCATCATCATCTTCATCTGCATCAGCTGATTTCAATGGAGATGAAGAGAGTGTATTCACTGAACCAGTAGTACCGAAACCACCGCCAACGCCAACGCCGACACCACCTCCTCCATTCATATTATTATTATTATTCAAATCGTCATTCGCTTGTAATGGCTGTTCAGTCGCTTCAGCATTCTCTTCAATACCTGAACTAATTGAATCAAGAACACGATCAACCATCGCATTATCATCATCCCTGTCACCATCAACATCATCATCGTCCACATCATCACCATCGTTGTAATTCTCATTCTCCTCTGTATTAGATTGAATCGCATTCTTTTTATTCATATTCTGTTGTTGCATTTCATTATTGATCATGTCAGTTGATGTAGGCTGTTTTATTTCATCTGAATATGGTTGATTGGCACTTTGTATTGGTTTCGCAATGGGGGATATTGATCGGATAAGTTGGATTTCATTCGATTCATTATTCAATAATGGTCTATTCTCATTTGTATGATGAATATTGACTAAATTCGGTGTAGATAAACTACTTTTATGCTGATGTTGATCTGTTAATGGTTGTAATGATTGTAATGGTTTTAAATTTCCACTTAATTGATCAGTTAATCGTTTATTCATGTAAAGATTATCATCGAAATTGTTTAAACCATTAGTAATATTATTGGTATTGTTATTTCTGCTTGTTTCCACTAGAAAAAATAAAAGCAATGTCAGATGACATAGATGATAAGATTCATTTAATCAGGGAAATATGTCAATAAATGAAAATGATTTAATCATGAGAGAGATAATTAACTTCGAACTATGAATCGATCAATATCAGACCACCATTAGAAACCTGGGAGCACTGCACGGCTGTTGCGTCCTAGTATGGGACTATTCAGCAGAGCGCATCTATGACTCCTGCACCCGGCAGGATTGGAACTCAGGATCGAGGGTCTTGCGCGTGAAAAATACCTAACCTCTGGACCACTGGGCTGGTCTCTAAATGTGTTTATATCTAACTTCGATCTATTCACAGTAATTAATTAATCATCAATAATTGAAAAATAATGAAAATTAATTTATGAACATCGTGGTCTATGACTTGGAATCATGAATCAGTCATTGTTACACCATCATCATTAGAAGAAACTTAGAAGCACTGGGTACCAGTTCTGTCTTGGTATGGGACACATCAGTGTCAGTGCTCATCCATGACTCACTCCTGCTACTCTCAGGATTCGAACCTAGGACCTTTGGTCTTGCATGCGAATGCCTAACCTCTGGATTGTAATATAAAGGGTAAACTCTAGTCTATTTAACAATTAAATATGAAAGAAATCGTCAAACTGAATGTAAATTAAAAAAAATTTCATTTAACTATGATTAAAACTAAAAATCAAAGTTATACAACGTTCAACGAATTGTGTATCCAACAGTTTCAAGCATTTTTTTTCCTTGATTATTTATTGGGCAACTACTGTATATGAGTGTATTGTTCACTTGATATTTCATTTCAAATATTTAGACTTATCTGTAGCAGTTTCTCATGAATATATCCCTGCATTTCATCTTACGATGTTAGATGATGAACACAGACATAGCAAGTATTGAAGACTGGAAGGGGATTTCCAATGACAATTACACCTATAATGCGGCTCTTGCTCATTTATTGAATAGAAAAAGACTAAGAAGATTTATTATAGGACTTTAAAGTGAAAAACGACAAGTTCGTACACTGCAATGAACAGTGACAATGAAATGTAACAGGCAAATTCAGTTGACAAGTAACAAATAAGACAAAACGCATACCGGAAAGAATATTCTTCGTTTATATATCGACCGGTAGTGCATTTTATAAATTGGTTGTGATTGTCTTTATCACTCCCAAGTATGTACTTATAACTTAGCTAGATTGAATGCTGATGTAACAATTTGAACTGAATTTCATTTATGTTATGCTCGTCACTTGATATGCCTGAAACTATTACGAGTTCATCTTAGTCGATAAACGAGAACGAGACAATGAACCAGTGTATGGGTAGGCTACTCTGATCCGTTGACCCAAAGGAGCTAACGAAAAAGTCTTGATATAGCATAGAAAGTGTATTCTACAAACACCCAACAAAGACAATGATCTCAAGCACATAAATCGCGTATATTTATACATCATAGAAACGTCCTCGGGAGAGTCATAAAAACATCACAATAAAATAACTTATCAGCCAATCACAGCTAAGGATTTTCCTGGTGGGAAATGTGATTTCAAGGTCAATTGATCAGCCCATGAATAAAATCCAAAGTCAAGACATTTATCAAGTGACTTCTGAGGATCTAACGTCTCCAACAATTTACCAACCAATTCGGGTTTTATTTTATTTCACAAAGAATTTCGTTACTAGAAACTGATAATAATTCTTATTAACTACTTAATAAATAAATTGATTTACAACAGTGTTTGATATAATCATCTACAAGTAACTCTATTAAATAAGAGATAATTTAATAATCCGGATAAGTTGTTGAGTATCCATTACAGTTCCAGTTTACTTTTAACGACCAGCAATTGATAATCAAAGTCTATATCAGCTTCGCTATCGGTTCTTACTTCCTCAATGCTCCATCTGAACTTTTTGTCGATTCAGATATGGTCGGTCTGGTTCTGGATAGTGTGATCCAGTGAAATCGATGTAACAGTGTGTATGTGCTTTTTTGAGATGACCAGTTTGTGGAAGTCGACACAGGTTTGAAAATCTCTCACTATTTTCGGTACTTTCTAATTAGTCCATCTGATCCCATGTCTATTATTCAAATATGATTATTTTTTTCCCTACAATGTTTAATTGATATCCATTGATTGTTGATTAATCAATCTATTGTTGAAACTTGATGGCTTTCTGTATAATTATGTAGACTTTTTTTTGAAAACCCAACAATAATAATCGTTAACCAGTAGAAGAGACAGAGAACAAACCAGATTCCAGTGGAGGAGGAAATCAGGAAGAAGCGCTGGAGTTAGTGGATAGGACACACACTACGAAAAGCACCTAACTGCGTCACGAGACAAGCCCTCACATTGAACCCTCAAGGCAAAAGGAAAAGAGGAAGGCCAAGGAACACATTACTCCGAGAAATAGAGAAAGATATGAGAGGAATGAACAAACATTGGACAGAACTGGAGACGGAAGCCCAGGACAGAGTTGGTTGGAGAACAGTGGTAGGCGGCCTATGCTCCATCGGGGGTAACAGGCGTAAGTAAGTAAGTAAGTAACAAGTAGAAGTGAGCAGAGATGTTTCCAATCATTCAATATTGAATAAACAAACGAACAAACAAGTAAAAAAAATAATCCATAGAGTATACATACTACTTACAAGAACTTCGATGATGATCTAAACCTTTGATTAATCGATTCATGCCTGAACTCTCTTGTAAATTCTCATTACTATCTACATATTTACGATCCAAATCATTTTGACTTTGTGATTGGCGTTTACTGTGAACACTTCTGAAAATTACACATATAAAACCAATCAGTCAGTCAATCAATCAATCAACAAGGGCAATGAATATGTGTATAACAAATGGAAAAAAGTAGAAATAACTTGATATGTGAAGTGATATGTGACATTTAATGTCTTGAATTTCAATTAAAATCATAATCTTTGAGACTTATTGATTGTATTTATGTTTCAAGTCAGTTTTTCATTTATTGATACTACTAAAACAAGTTAGTAGTACTAACTAGATTTCACTTTATTTGAGTATAGTTAATAGAATAGTTTGTAAAATTATTGAATGATGCCATAGTTATTAAGGATTAATTGTTCCGTATGCTCAAAGTAGGCTGTTCTATGAGCATAGCTTTACCAGACGGTTGGTGTTATTTGTTCTATGGGTCGGGACACCATACGACCCACGCAGGTACTATGACAAGATGGAGTTGATCTGTAAAATGTGATGTATTTAGGCTATAGATTTTGAACAACTGACTTTGTTACTTAACTTTTATCATCCTATCATTAAAAATTACTTGGTTGTATCATTCTTTCCAGTTCAGTTTCAATAATTATGTCAATAGGAGGTAGACATTATCGATAAATCTATCAATCGATACTTACGCAACACTGTACAAGTAATAGATAAGAATGGTGAATATTAAATTATCAATAAAAATTATGTTTAAAGTTACTAAATTCTAAAATAGATGAAAGATGTTGGTTGGTTGCAGGTGAATGACATAAAATCCTCCTACCCTTTGGTTTCATACAAGTTAGCACAACATCCTCATGAAATACTTGTAATCTAATGAGAACTGATGAGCTTAAAACCATATCACTTAAATTCACAATTCCGAATCCCGAAGGCAGAATTAATTTGCTAAAGATTCTGCGTAGAAATTATAAGCGTGTACCAATTAACAAGGCCATTTGGTCAAGAAGAGTTTTCTGTCGAATATCTCCAAACATTGAATACTTTAGCATAATGTATGCGAAGCCAAGTAAGTTAGACTGGTGGTCATATTACAAATAAATTGATAAATCCTAATCAGTACCAAAGAATCAAACACACATAACATTGATCACTACTCAGTTGAAAATGAAGAACACGTAAAGCTGACATTATATTTTCAAATCAACAATGTCTCTACTACTAATATATTCAAATTACTGGCTATAAAATAGTTTAACAGCTTCCTTGTTTGTATTTCAAATTTGTTTTACAAGTAAATGAAAGTTACATAGGAACTTTACTAAAACTAATATGGTAGTATCAAAAGGGATGAAGCTTGTTTTAAAGAAGGATTAGTAGTTTTGCGTAAATCACTATGGAAAAACTCTAAATTAATGCTGTGTAACATTTTCAATAATCTAACTAACATGCTTGGCATGGGGTTATCAACTCTCATCCCATGGAAAAATAACTCGCCAGAAAATCGCTAACCAGAAGAAATAGATCGGTGGCCTATGCTCCACTGGGGGTAATAGGTAAAAGTAAGTAATTCAGTAAGTAACTGATATACAAAGCGATATTTCACAATCCATATCGCACTAACATTTCACTCGGTATATGAATTATTCTATGAATCAAAAGCTTTTCTTTAATGTATAGACTGTTGTCGTATCCTCTTACAATCTAAAATTACTGTCATTTAAATATGACCTTTGTATTTCCCTTTTCACCAACACCAGCACAACTGTATTTTCCTCACTTCATCTGTATGTTGCTGTGTTGTTAGTTATACACTTACTCATATATCATTTCTGAATTAGTTAAATCAGGAATGTATTGAGTATAAAGATCGGGCTGGATCATCATCATCATCTGTGTGTGTGTGTGTGTTTACATCACGATTAGGTGATAGGTCAGCGGTAGGATAGCTGTTTCTCTCTGTCATTGTGACTTTTCAATGATAAATCGAACTCGCAAGTCACATGTCTCAAGGTTACGCTAAATAACCTGTCATGTTATTAATTCAAACTAGGTCGCATATTAAGTAAGCATAGACTTAGTAAGCAAGCAGAACAAGAATATGATATTCATAAACCACACTGACTTAACCGAAGTACTGTGACTGTTCAATTTTTAAATGATATGAATTTGTTATAAACTATATTCAGGAACTCACTTTGCCAAATTCAATAAGCTTCTACTCCTAATTCACAAAATCAAAAGAATAAATAAAAGTGAGAGTTATTTTGAACAGAGAGAGAGAGAGAGTAAAACTTCTTTCAACAGCAACAAAAAATACGCAAAAAAATTGATTCGTAGTTACAAACAGAAAAAAAGTAGGAAAGATCATTATTTACATTAATTCAAATTTAGATTTCATTGAATTCACAGCACAAATTATAGATGAAGTTCAGTTTTTTCTTATTTATCTGAGAATAAAATCATAAAACACATGAAGTGTAATTAGATACTGTTCTCTCTCTCTCTCTCTCTCTCTCTCTCTCTATATATATATATATATATATATATATATATATATATATATGTTTTCTTTTAGATACCGATACTTAGCACATGTTTCCTACATACAATACTAATATTGCACAACTCTTATTGATAACATTGTTTGGGACGTTAGATCCCCAGCACTCATTTGAAAAAAGTTCTAATTTTGTAATTTTATTCTAAAATTTTGAATTTCCAGTTGACCTTCAGCTCACATTTCCCCCCTCGGGAAATCCTTGACTGTTATTGGTGGATGGATTATTTAAGTACGCTATTTTGTGGCTCTCTCAACGGCGTCTCTGTCATTGCATAAATAAGCTTGATTCGTTTGCTTAGCAACCTCGTATTTTCTAGATGTTCGTAGAATACACTCTCTACGCTTTATCAAGACTTCTTCCTTTAGTTAGCGGAGCCTGGGATAATAGGATTAGAGTAGACTGTCGTGTCCCTGTATCGTTGACCTTCGTTCCGTTTACCAAGTTAAGTGAACTCGTAACAGTATTGAAGCATATCAATTGACAAGCATATCAATAATATTGTTTCTAGCTGAATTGATTAAATCACTTTTAGTTATCAACCTGGTTATTTTGAGACTTTTTAACTAAATGCAACGATCTCTTTTTCATAAATCCTTTTTTTACAGTCATATCATACAGACAGAATGCAAGCTCATGGTTTAAGTAAACATGTATGGTGGGTTAACTTGACACGTTTCTAGAATATCAGCTAGTAATAATCTCATAAAGCAAAGTATCTGTGGTTGGTGTATTCGAAAAATGGTCAGTCAAAACTTTTAACTTTCCATGGAATTATGATTGATCAAAAAATTGACATTTCCTTTGCTGCGAACGAAAAAAAGATGAGAGATTTTTACATCTGATTAATTGTTGAAATCATGCTTTGATCATTGTTAGACCACCATTAATAGAAACCTGGAAACACTGGACGGTTAATCTGTCCTAGTATGGGAATCTTCAGCAGTGAGCACCCACATACCCCATTATTAGGGAATCGAAGCCAGGACGTTCGGCATCGCACATGAACGGTTAACCTCTAGACCAATGAAACAGCATCCAATGGTGTCAATGTCTAAATTCAATCAATCCCTGTTATTGCACAACCTCACCCATTGTCTTTGTTATTTACTGCCTAGAACCTTGTATCTTCATCCAGAAGATAAAAGTACTTACCAACAGTTGTCTACTCGCTTTTGCCAACCTGTGTCACTTATGGCGTAAGCGAGATATCTGCTTGTTAACCAAAAGGACGAGCGTACTGCGCAGCAGTTCGCTCTGTCCTACTATACGGATGCGAAACATGTCCGTTAACAGTAGAGGACATTCGTAGGTTACTAGTCTTCGTTCGTAGGTGTATCCGAAGCATTACTCGTGTATCCTGGGACAACCGAGTAAACAATGCTATCGTTAGGAAACGAGTTCTAGGTAAGGATGGCAAATCAATAGATGAAGCATTGAAACTTCATCAGTTGAGGTGGTTGGGACATGTGTTTGTTACGAATGCCCAACCACCGACTGCCTCGACCAGCTATGTTTTGTCGTGTAGGAGTAGGTTGGAAGGAAGCTAGGGGTGGCCAGACCAAAACATGGCATAAATTCATGAAGTCACTAGCAAGTGGACTAAGTCATGTTCGTAGATGTAGGCTATCTGGTTGGGGTCCGCGAGACGAAAGTCACCAATGGTTAGAGACCTTGAACGACATGGCTCACAATCGTTTGCAATGGCGCAGGTGCATCCACTCTTTGTGTGCTTTTTAATTCTAAACTTCTGAATTCCTCATCATCTGAATCTTTCTCTCTCTAAATTTATCTCACTGAATTATACTGTTTGAATCATATCTTCTCCATTGCTGCTAATAATTCTACTATCGCAGTCACACTTGGATTTGAACTGACAGTAACGTCTCTGTGCTGACGTGGTATGGCAACCTAAACTGATGTACTTATGCACGGAGTTCTGCGTTGTATTTGTCTGTCTGTTGTCTACGCAAAATACAACATATCCGTTAGCCAGAAACCATCAACGAAAATCTACTATGGGAGAGAACAAACCAGATTCCAGCAGAGGAGGAAACCAGGAAGAATCGCTGGAAGTGGATAGGAAACATATTGCGGAAAACACCCAACTGTGTGACTAGACAAGCCTCTCATCTGGAATCCTCAAGGCTAACGGAAAAATAGGAAGGTCAAGGAACTAGAGACAAACATAAGAAAAGTGAACAAAAATTGGACACAACTGGAAAAGGAGACCCAGAACAGAGTAGATTTGAAAATACTGGTCGATGGCACATGCTCCATTGAGCATAACAGGCGTAAGTAAAGTAAGTAAGTAAGTAATATTAATGTCACGAAGCAGAATATCCTTGGCAGTATATGCAAAAAGATTGTTCGTCAGAACTTTAAACTTCAACAGAATTATAACTCATCGACAAATTAACATTTCCTATGTTTAGAACGTAAAAAGAAAAAAAAGATTTCCACAATTGTTTCATCAATCACAAAAGATTTGGTCAATATCATTTATTGCATTGCGGTGTCGTTGTGAAGATTGTTAAGTTTTATTTGTAACCATGAATGAGGTTGCGCGACTCCGTGAATTTGATCAAGTTAGACATTAACACTGTTGGATACCGGCTCAATGGTCTGACGGTTAGGGCGTTCGCGCACAATACCGAAGGTCCTAGGTTCGAATCCTGCGGGGTGCAGGAGTCGTGGATGCGCACTGCTGATGAATCCCATACCACGTCAAAACGGCCGTCCAGTGCTTCCAGGTTTCTAATGGTGGTCTAGCATTGATCGAATCATAGTTACAAACAATATCATTTATAACTAGCCATTCAACAACTATTGATCAAGTCACATTACAGTCACATAGATAGTTTGGATACACTGTGAGCAATAATGATCAAGGACAAATCCTTCCATTTGTTTTTGATGCCTTATCATTTGACAATGAGTACTTTTCGAATGTGTGTGTGTGTGTAAAATACTTGGCAAATTGTGAGAAAATAAAAAATGGCAAATAGGAACAAAAAAAAGTACTTCAAACTATTTAAAAAAATAATCCTTTATTATTTCTTTTTAAACATTATTTTCAATCAATAATATTAACAATAATCATAGTCATTTGATGATAAACCCCTTAAAGAGCAAGCAATTAATGGATCACGCACATACACACACACACACATTTTGGGTGTGGTCTAAAAACAAACACACACATTGAAAAATTCAATGCAATTACTTGTGTATAATAAAAGAAGAAGAAGAAGAATAAATGGGAATATAGAAAATTTTCCCTTCATTAAAATGAACTCTTGTTCATTTGTGATCGATCAATAAAGAAGTCATGACTGGCTGTTTGTTTGTTTGTTCGTTTGTTAGTTTTAATTATTTCATAGGTAACTTTTGTATTTACTGTACGTTTTGTTGATGTGATTAGTTTGTACACATTTGAAATCATCAATCAATCGACCAACAACATTAGAAATTCGAAAGTACTGGACGACCGTTTCGTCCTGGTATGGGACTCATTAGTTACAGTGCGCATCCGCGACTCGTGCACTTCACATGATACGAACCCAAGACCTTTGGTCTTGCACGCGAACGCCTAACCTCTAGATCACTGGGCCAGTATCCAACGGTGTTATTGTTTAACTCTAATCTAGAAATGTTGCGTGACCTTACTCATTTGTCTTTAGTAGTTACCGCCTACATCCAACAGGGTTGAACTCCACTGGTCACGTCTTCTCATTAGAACACCGAGAATTTCCTCAAGATGCTAGTTACTAGTCAGCAAATTATACAATTTTTTCAATTAGAGTTATGAAAATCATTTTTTTTTTCTTTACACATTTGAAATCATCAATCAATCATTGTCAGTGCTTTCAGGTTCCTAATGGTGGTCCATAACCCTGATTGAAAAATGTTATTATTCTCTAATCATATGGATTGACTGGATAAACTTTACGTAATTGGTGCTGATTTCCATGATGACAGGTATTTCAGATGCACACTGTCATTGAGAAGTGTTACCCTATGCTAGAACTATCCAGTGACTGTAAGTTTTCAATAAAATGATCTTACTTCAATAGATTAATGTTTTCAATATATGGTTTTTTATTAGATAAGTTCAGGTTATTGTATTTTGTGAAACTAATATCAGTTAATATTTTAAAAAAATCTGAATTAAAGTTTAACATTGTACAAAGAGGCTGTTAAACTAAAATATAACCTAAATCTACGAGGTCATTGAAAGTTGGTAGTTCTGGACTACTTGATTAAGGGCTTGAGTGATATGATTGGCAATGTTTAGTAACAGCTTAGAATCAATCACAATGAAACAGATACATTCACTTTGTGTATCCCATTAGATCCTACTCATATTAATACTATTTCTGTGGTATGATATGACAATTCGAATCAAACCATAAATGCGTATCAGTTTGTAAATTGATTATAAATGATTTTGATTTTTGTTCACAACTATTTAGATTTGAAATCAACTCCATAAACTATGAGTAAAAATCTGACCTAGTGACTATAAATCTTTGAGACATTTTATTATCACACTTTGAAAAATGTAAATTATTTTGACATAGTAATTAAGAAGAGGCTCTAATGGTGGATAGGACGCATCACAAGACAAGCGCTTACTTTAGGCATTCAAGGCCAAAGGAAAGAAGTTAGACCAGAGAATAACATTACTCCACGAAATGGAAACAGACATGAAAAGAATGAAAAGCAATTGTCTAGAACTAGAAACAAAAAAGGCTCAGGACATAGTAAGTTTAAGAATGCCAGTCGACAGCCTATCCTCCATTAGGGGTTACGCACTATATAAGTACTCGTCAGTTGAAATGCTAAAGATGATACAATACTGTGAACATGTGTTACTAAGAATAGAAATAATCAACAATAATCTTTTTCATATCTTTCTGTTACATTCTTTCGTAGTCGTGAAATAAACTTCCTTATTAAAATAAAGACACAAACTTCATTGGATGTATCTGCAAATAAACTATTCACTGTTCCTTCTTTTCACTTACACATTTATTTTAACATTTAAACGTTATCTCGACTTACACATTTGAAATTATCAATCATTCATTGTGTTAGACCACCAACATTAGAAAGAAACCTGGAAGCACTGAACGGTCGTTTTATCCTGATATGCAAATCATCAGCAGTGTGCATGCACGATCAGTCTTGCCACCCACAAGATCCGAAACTAGAACCTTTGGTCTTACGCGCGAACGCCTAATTTTTGGATCACTGGGCCAATATCCAACGGTGTTAATGTCTAACTCTTATCAATCTACAGATTTTGAGCGAACTCACTCATTTGTCTTTGGTAGTTACTGCCTACAGTCGAAAGGGTTGAAATCTACTGGCCACATCTAAATAAAACTCCGAGAATTTCCTCATAAAGCTAGTCACTAGTCAGCATATTGTACAATCTTTTTAATTACAGTTATGGAGATTAGTGTTTTTACACATTGAAATCATCGATCATTCATTGTTAGACGGCCAACATTCGAAACCTGGAAGAAGCACTGGACGGTTGTTTCGTCCTGGTGTGGGACTTGTCAGCAGTGCGTATCCCCGGCTCCTGCTACTCGCAGGACCTTCGACCTTAGGGGCGAGCGCTTAACCTCTGAACCTATCGGACATCAATCATTATTATCTTGTTTATTTTTGGTGTACAATTCTCAACGAGCTTTCATATTTGTGTAAGCACACAGTCAAATTGTAAATTTCATTATCTATTTATTGATATATATATATATATATATAACTTGAAAATAAAATATTAGACTTTTCAATTTTTACTCATTACAAATAATCATAACTAGATTTCATGCATAAACTCTGTTGATTTTTTACTCGCAATTGAAATCAACTCAGCACAACAAATTGATCAACTTTTTTATGATGAAAATTCAGTACAAACTATTGAAGTGATATTTTTTCTGATTGGTATTATTAGCATAGCTTTGTTCTATTGAAGTGTTTATAAATAATGAATATATATATATATATATACATATACATATATATATATATATATATACATATATATATATATATAGAGAGAGAGAGAGAGAGATAGAACTCATTGTTATTTTTGATGGATACGCTTGATGAATAGAATTATAGTTAGATTTTGTTTGTTACTTCATCGGCATGGTTATAATAAGACATTCACTTCATCAATACTACTGTTACTACTACTACCACTACTACTACTACTACTACTACTACCACAACTACTACTAATACAACTACCACCAATACTGTCCCAATATCACTTACCTTGCAACACTAGGCTGTGGTATAGCAGGCATGCTAGAATTCAACTGCATCAACTCCTTCTGACATCGTCCCCTGGGGAATTTTGGTACAGAAAAATAAATAAAAGAAACATATCGATAAATAGATAGATAGATAGATAGATAGTGAAACATGAAGTATGTCACTAAACACAAACGTTACTATTGTTTGTTACTTACTCTTAAAAATAATAGGATGACAAGAAAGAGAAAGAGGAAAAAACTTACACAATTCCTGCATACAATATCTGTTTGTCTGTGTGTGTGTGTGCGTGTATGTGTCGGTCACTATAGTTACCACATGGAAAAAAAAACAGTAGAGCTTATTGTTTTTCTTTGGCTTTCTTCTTCTTCTCCTTCCATCTTTTTTTAACAAACCATTTTTTTTGTCTCAAATTTTGGAGACTCATCATTATAATGTGATAGTTGCCTTATTTGTAATATTTTCATAAGTACCATAAAGTATAATAAAATACAAAATGTACTTATTAGAGGTATTGATGAAAATCAACATTAATTTATATATGATTGTTCATAGAACAAGTAAGAAAGTGTTTTTGTGGGGCTCTGTTATTTTTTTTAAAATTTATTTCGATGAGTATGCTGAGAATTTTTAAACATGTATTGATTCATTAAGAAGGGTGAACAATAATCTACATAAGCATTTGATGAATTGATTAAGGATCAATTGTCAAAAACTAGTACATAGTGATATTATTTAGAATAAATTAATTTATTGCATGAACACTTTGTTCTAATCTATTGATCGAATTCCTGTTAGTTAGTCAGATGCACAAAATATACAGCAATCAATGTGATGCCTCAATGACTTTAATTGACCTACTACTAGAATGATTGGACTTATTCATTTCTTACTTACTTACGCCTGTTACCTCCAATGAAACATAGGCAGCCCATCAGTTTTCTCTAAGCTACTCTGTCCTGAGCTTGCCTTTCCAATTCTATCTAATTTTTATTCATTCTTCTCATATCTTTCTCTATTTCTCTATGTAATGTGTTCCTCGGCCTTCCTCTTTTCCTTTTACCTAGAGGGTTCCAAGCGAGGGCTTGTCTCGTGACGCAGTTCGGTGCTTTTCGCAGTGTGTGTTCGATCCACTAACTCCACCGCTCCTTCCTGATTTCCTCCTCCACTGGAATTTGGTTTGTTCTTTTCCACAGCAGATTGTTGCTGATCATGTCTGGCCAACGAATCCGAAGTATTTTGCGTAGACAACTGTTCATAAATACTTGTATCTTCCGGCTGATGGCTTTGGTAGTTTGCAAAATTTCGGCTTCACAGAGTAGAACTGGAGCGACATTTCTGTTGAAAATCGGTTGAACTTATCGCAACAACATATGTTTTGACCAATATATATATTTCGATTGAGTTATCATGATGAATGAATTAATCAATTCGACCATGACGTCATGGCTCAAGGTACGATCAGGCATAGTAAAAACACTAATCTCCTACAACTCTAATTGAAAATATATACTCAACTTAGATTCAAATGCATGGATTGTTAAATAAGTCAAGTTACTGGATATATTTTAATAGTTTACATCTCTCATTGGTTCATGAGATTGTAGTGGAACACTTGTGAGAAGAAAACGCGATTGGTGAAAAATTAACATTTATATTATTATGCTCGTTTTGTTTAAACTCTACCAAATACACTGACTTGCTCTCAACGTTCTTTTACGCGTTACTGCCATTTTGCATAAACTGCTGCTCTCTATGTAACGCTCAACTTTCTCTTTGAAATAAATGTTGATCCCCTGAATTAAAATTTCTATATTTTGTGACGAGATAGATCGTATGAAATATTTTATGTTGATCATAGTCGATCTCGACTCGGTCATCACAAAAAAGATAAAGAATTCTTTCAAACGGAATACTGTCTGTGTTTCAGCAGCACTGCAACATATTGTAAAACTTTATTTTCCGCTTAGGCTATAACATGTATTCATTCTTATCTGGATTATTTTAACGATAATGAAAGTTTTTTTTCTAAAAAAAACTAAATCCGTTTTTTTTAACAATTATTCGAATAGGAGAGATCTATTCAATTTATGTATCATAAAACTGAGAAGCATTTTCTAGTGAATTTTATTTTGGACAGTTAAAAAAAGGCGTACATCAAAAAAAAACTAAAAATTAAAATTGTACCTCCTATTGACTAAAACTTTAGTTATCATATTTTATAATTTTCTTACTACTATCACTACACATTTGAAATCATCAATCAATCATTGTTAGACCACCATTAGAAACCTGGAAGCACTGGACGGCCGTTTCGTACTGGTATGGGACTCATTAGTGGCAGAGCGCATCCGAGACTCCTGCACCTTGCAGCATTCGAAGCCGGGACCTTCGGTATTGTAGGCGAACGCCTTACTATCGGACCACTGGGCTTGCATCCAACGGTGTTAATGTCTAACTCTGATTGATCTAGGGATTTTGCGCGACCTCACCCATTTGTCTTTGGTAGTTACTGCCTTAACCCGACAGGGTTGAACTCCATTGGTCACGTCTTCTCAACCAGAACTCCGAGAATTTCCTCACGAAGCTAGTCACTAGTGAGCACTGTCACGATATTTTGGTGCACAGTTTTTGGAGGTTTGCGTTCTTTACACATTTGAAATCATCAATCAATCATCGTTAGACCACCATTATAAACCTGGAAGCACTGGACGTAAAATCCCTAGATCAATCAGAGTTAGACATTAACACCGTTGGATGCCAGCCCAGTGGTCCGATGGTAAGGGGTTCGCCTACAATGCCGAAGGTCCCGGCTTCGAATCCTACGAGGAGCGGGAGTCGTGGATGCGCACTGCTGATGAGTCCCATACCAGTACGAAACGGCCGTCCAGTGCTTCCAGGTTTCTAATGGTGGTCTAACAATGATTGACTGATGATTTCAAATGTGTAAAAAAACGCAAACCTCCAAAAACTGTGCCCCAAAATACTATCAGTACACCAGTCTTCCTACTATCCACTTGTACTTTTGCCTATTATATGTAGTGACGTAATCTCTATTTCATTTCATTGTGCTTATTGACTCAAATTGCCTTGACTGGTTTAACATTTTCAATATAAATATTCATGTATATTAGAGTAAAGCAGCCTGATGACGATCTAATCGAAAACAACAATATTGTTCGCTTATATCTGTGTTGTTCTCAATGTACAATTCACCAACAAAAAAAACCAACTGACAAGACTTAACTACTACCTACCTACGTAAGACAATCGATTCAATGGAAATTTCAGTGGAACTATAGCATTTCAGAATTTACGAATAATTTAAACTGATAATTATGATCAAATTCATGTTTATTTAGATGATGTCATACTACTATAGTTTCATTACCCCCAAATCTATCAGAAGCATTACAACACTATTTCAGACTAATTTACAGCATACAAGTGTACAATCAAAATATGTGCTCTTGATATGCTCCTGACAATTGATATGCTTGAATGTTATTACGAGTTCACTTTACTCGGTAAACAAGAGTGAAGATAAATGATGCAGTGACACGATAGGCTATTCTAATCTAATCTGTTTGTCCCCGGATCGGCTAATTATGTCAAGAAGTTGTAATATGGCTCAAAAAGTGTATTTTACAAGCACACCCAGAAAATATGAGGTTGACAAGCACACAAATTGAGCTTATTTATACATGATAGAAAAGTCCCTCGGAGAGTCATAAAAACAGCGCATCAAAATAATACATCAACCAATGACAGTCAAGGATTTCCCAAGTTGGAAACGTAATCTCAAGGTCAACTGAGCAGCCCAAACTCGAAAACACGAAAAATCCAAAAATTAGGACATTTTCTAACTGATTTCTGGGGATATAAGGTCGTCAACAGATCCATCAAGTACTTTTAAGATCATGAAAAGGGTGAAGAGTCTAATTTCAACTCGATTTAGTGATTTTCAACCAAACATATGTAGATCCGGTGTACTACTGTAGAGTGGCATCCAATCAAAAAAAATCACTAGTTATTGATACTTAATGACAATTACAAATCATTTTCTTTGACTATTGTCCATCAATATTGTTAGATAAGTGATAAGATTTATTGAGACTATTTATGGGTAGTTAAAGCCTTCTGCTGATAACCAATAGTAATTGATAAATTGTAGTAATTAATAGGTCTTAGAATAAATTAAAACTGACAGGCAAACAGATCTCATGAATAGCTTTCTCATATAGTTAAAACAACTGTATGTTACAAATTTGAAAAAAACCACGAATCTTACGTAAACGTATAAAACTGACGTCGTTTAAACAAACCACCATTGGCTTTGGACTCTTTAGCATCGACAGATCGATTTAAGCTAAATGAAACAAATTTTAATGCAAAAAAATTTCTTTTACAAATGAACAAGCATTATGAATCAATCATATTTAAAGATAATAAATATGTCAATGATGCAACACACGAAATCTTGTGAACTAGCAGCTGAATTAATATCACGATCATTTCCCCCCCCCCCCCCCCAATGAAACACCTAATTTTGAACAGTTCTCAATAAGATACCTGTCAGCTTCTTAACCAGATCACTTAATGTTGACTAGGTGTGTAAAGCAAGTCAGTCAGTCAGTCAGCTACAACGTGGAACTTCGTAGGTACATACATCAGTTCAAGTTGCCATACCACATTAACACGGAGAAACGCAAAAGTCAGTTCAAATCGCATAATGACAGAGATAGTAAAAGAATTAGCGGTAGTGGAGAAGAACATGGTTCCAAGATATTATTCAAGAAGTATAATTCAGTGAGATAAGTTTAGAAAGAGAAAGATAGAGGTGATAAGAAATTCAGAATACTACGATTTGAGAGAACACAAAGAATGGATGCACCTGCGACACTGCAAATGATTTTGAGCCATTCATTGATGACTATCGACTCGCTGGCCCCAACTAGGTAGTCAACACCTACCAACATGACTCAATCCACTCGTTAGTGACTTCATGAATTTCTGCCATGTTTTGGTCTTGCCTCCCCTAGCTTTCTTCCAACCTGCTCTTACACTACAAAGCAAGTAATACTCTAACAACTAATATAAAGTGTTCTAAAGAGATTTATTTTAAAAAATTCTTATCGGAAATATGCAACAGTTAACTGAGCATCTTAGTGGCTTTTTATATATTATAAAATTTATCTTTCCGAACAGATAAACATTTATCACTAATAAATGAAGAGAATTTCTCTCAGCAAATCTAAAATTTATCAGCATAGCGTTGTGATGACTGTCAAAGTTTATTAAGACTAACAAATCTTCTAATTTAGACAACCACTGAAAGCTAGGAATGTGGTCGTGATATGAAACTATTTATTCGTGACCATTCACAACTCTACAACCGAAAATCGAAGTTTGATCTTTCGTTCTTATTCTCTAGTGCTTAATCACTAAACCAACAATAATATATTCACTTACGTAAAAAAACATTGACGATCAACTGCCCATTTCCATAATGCCTCAGCTGATTCTGGTGTTGGACATTTGAAACCAAGTGTATGTCGACGCTTTATAATCAATTCGATTGTGGTAAAAGTAACAATAAATAAGCATTTAAACTTTTTTTTAAATTAAAATAAAATTATCATGAGTAACAAATAAAAAGGTACAGGTTGTACAGACTGTTTGTCGTGTATTTTCAATTAGAGCTATCAAGATTACTGGCTTCTTACACACTGAAATTATCAATCAATCATTGTTAGAGCATACCAGGACGAAACGGCCGTCTCTCAGTGCTTCCAGGTTTCTAATGGTAGTCTAAAAAATGATTAATCGATTATTTCAATGTGTTTGTCATACACAAAAATGTAATGAATCATCTCTGAATACTTTCATCTCTAATAGTTGACGCCCTATTCTGTTATTCCAACAACAGGAACTCATTTCATGAGATTCTTAACTCAACTGAAATAGTCACTGTACAAACTGGATAACATTCGAAAAGTGTTCAACTCAACAGTATGGAAATTTTTTCATTATCAAAATCATTATTGATAATTAGAACAGTTATTTTATATTCTACTTTCAGATTCTTTAAAAGTACTAATCTAAAATATTTTATAAGCTGTACTATCTATGAAATATCATTCTAAATTCTAAGGTTTTTGTTAACCTTAAGTTGTTCAATTACTTCTAAAAATACAAATCATAGTTTCAATCACAGATTGATCATAGTTAAACTTCCTGGTCAATATCATGAAACCCAGTTTCATTCTACACTAAGGCACCCAGTTAGTGTATACTCATGCTCTCCTATCGAACAGGATCAAACCTAGGACATTCCGACCTCATAGACAGTCCCTAACCTTTAGACCATCAAACTGGCATCCTGCAGTTGACATGTTTCATTGAAATTACTTAGCTAGCATTCAAACGGTATTATTTTTATTATTGTACATAAATATATCTATTGTTATCTGATATATATATATATATATATATATCAGTTTATATGATACACTACAATTAACACTATTATTGAAGATAGTATTCATATGAGAAATATTCTACTGAATTATAATAATAATAATAATAATATATTGCTTACCTGTTCCCATTCCACTTGTATAATAAATAGCTTGCCTTCATAACTTATTTTATTGATTTTTTGCCTATAAAAGCAAAAGGAATCAATCAACAATGAATAAAAAAAATTTATTATTAGAATAATTAAGAATGTTGATGGTGCTAGATGATGACAATAATTAGGATGGAATTATTATTATTATTATTATTATTATTGTGTTGTTTTAAAAATAAATTTTTCCGTGTGTGTGTGTGTGTGTACTTTCAGAGTTGTGAATCAGAATAATTTATATAACTAGATAGAGAGAGAGGGTAGAATGCTGAATGATAAAAAATATTATTTCCGTGCTAATAAAATCAATCAATACAACTTGTTTGACTATGATAAGAAAACATTTTTGATAGTGTGGATAAGATGATACGATGGAGGCTTTATTTTGACACTGCAATGTACATGAGCAGATAGTGAACATTATATGGGGGGATTCTTATGACGAAGTACATTAAAGAAAGCATGCATGAGGTCAGCTCACAGATTTGTTTGTAGTGAAAACCGATGTCAAACAGAGGTGCTTACTCTTACCCTCTCTCTTTCTTCTGGTGATTGACTAGATGACGAAGAAGTCAACTTTTCAGTGGATAATTCAGATTTAGCTGTAAGATGTGGAAACCTTTACATACTTGAGTAACATCACTGTTAAGAAAAGCGGATCTGATGCAGATGTAACGATATGGATGAGCAAAGCAAGAACAACTTTTCGACAGCTAAATAGCATCTGAAACTCAAATCAACTATCAGCCAACAACAAAGTCACAAAGTCTCCGAGAACTATCAAAACCATCATCCTCAAGAAACAGGTGTTTATAAACAGTTGTCTATGCAAGATACTGTGGATATTTTGGCCAGACACCATTAATACGAACCTACTGTAACGGAGAACAAACCTGATTCCAGATGAGGAAAAAACCGAGGAAAGGTTACTGAAGGTGGATAGAATACACACACTGCGGAAAGCATCCAGCTGCGTTACGAGGTAAGCCAAAGCAAAATAAGAATACCGAGAAACACACTGGGCAGAAAATTGGAGACAGAATGAGTAGCGATCGGGAAAAGATGTGAAGAAAAACCCAGGACATAGTAAGTTGGGGAATGCTGGTTGGTGGCCTATGCTTGATTAGGGGTAATAGGCATAAGTAAGTAAGTAATAAATCAATGGTTCGATTGATTGGCTAAACTTTCACAATTGGTCAATCACTTAATAATGATCAATATCATGTCTGTCGAATTTTTTAATTGAAAACTAATTTCTGTTGATCAAGTAGCAAGCAAAATGCCCATTAGTCTAGGTGCTGAATATAAGTTTCCATATCACTGCCATCCATCAAAAAGACTTGCTTGCATTCTTCAGGGATTTAATGCTTTCTGTAAGACTAGATAAACAGGACACTGATCACTATGCACAGTGACCGATTGAGTATAGTTACTTGGAGTCAGTTATGCGCACAAAGTAACAAAGTCACAAAATATGAAATTAGATAACCTGTAGTGTAATCATACAGATACTACTCTTAGACAAGTATCAACTAGGAGAAAAACCCAAGACAGAAAGAATATCCTGTCGATTTCAGTCAACTGTCTTACTTCTAAACATTGGTTTACTTATTTAGATCAATGAACTTTTCATCATCATTAGAAATTATTAAACTACTCATCTATAATTGAACTACTAATAGGTAGTGCATATCTATTGATCGATCGATCAATCTGTAGTATACTTTTAGAAATAAATAAAATGTCCCTAATTAGTTTTAGTTTTCGAATTGACTAAGAGTTATCCATCGCATATTTGATTGTTATAATGACGGAGAGGGAGGGGTTATGCAAATGAGAAATATAAAAAACAGTTTGTCAATCAGTCAGTCATTAAAAAAATAGTAATAATTTGAGGCAAATTGTTGGCATGTTTTTTTTTAAAAAAAAAATTTATTTTTGTTTACTTTTTTATGTATAGGTGTATCACGGATCATCTATGCCATAGGAACACATTGTTTACACCCATGAAGGAATAATTATAATAATAATAATAATAACTGAAAACTATAATATTGTATGTATACTTAGTTTCTTTTTTGACTAGTTCTTTATTTTGAGAATACAGTAGTCTTTTAAGTCTATGAAAGACTACTGCCCAATTTCACTCTTGTATATTGTTGACAGAGTGATGAATGCATATTTTGTCATTGTTGGAGTTGTATACTACGATGAAACAATAGGATTACTACCGTTCAAGTTTTCAATGATTATTTAACATTGATCATTTGCATGTAATGTGTTCATGAAGAAAAATAAATAATAAACTCATATCTATACAATAAATGAAAAAAATATTATACTACTAGAGCTATTTTATATGATATTGAAGAGAATGTTGAATTATAGTGTTTGTACTGATAACCAATGATAACTAGGAAGTATTAGTCAGTTGATTTATTTGAAACATAAGACTCATTGGAAGCAGTACCGATTCATAAAAGTAACAGATTACAGATCAAACCGAGAGTTTGGTAGTGAGCCTTACATTTTCAGTCGAATTAACTAGGCATCTCGTTGTTGGGGATGTTAGATACCCAGAACTCGCTTGATAAATGCCTTATTTTGAATTTCATGTTTGCCAGCATGGGCTGATCAGTTGACCTTGAGATCACATTTCGCTGGCTGCTTTGTCATTTTTGTGTGCTATTTTTGTGACTGTCCCAACGATCCCAAGAACTCACTTCATAAAGGTCCTAATTTGGATTATATGCTTTCACGCATGGACTGATCAGTTGACCTTCACATTACATTTCCAACTCGGAAAGTCCTTGGCTGTTGTTGGGTTGATGTATTATTTTAGTACACTATTTTTATGGCTGTCCCAAGGACGTTTCTGTCATGTATAAATAAACTCGATTTGTGTGCTTATGAACCACGATTTCTGAGTGCTTGTAGAATACACTTTCTACGCCTTATCAAGATTTCTTCCTCTACTTAGTGGTGGGCCTTGAGACGCTCGGATTAGAGTAGCCTATCGTGTCACTGGATCATTTGCCTTCGCTCTCGTTTACCGACTAAAGTGAACTCGTGCATTGAGCACTTATTAGTATCCAGAGGTTTATTTGTCCTACTTCAATCAGTGTTATTATGTGAGGTGATATGTTTATTTCAACCATTTCAAGTATAACATTAGAAAAGAATGGAAGCACTATAGCAAGATGGTCGAATGCCAGCAACAAAATGCGAGCATCTTGGGTTTAATCTCCCTTGATGGGAACTTTTGTACATACTTCTACAGACTGTAGTCGTTGAATAAAACCACTGTCTAGTGTTTGTCGACCCTCAACAATTGTTTAACTAAGATTAATCTATGTTGCAGATGATTATCTATTGAGTTACCAGGTGGTAATGTTGTGCTCTCTGAATAGAATTTTTCCAATGAGCATATCTCATTTTCTTGAAAATCTCATAGTAGCAACAGTAAACATAATTACCAGATATATATGTGCGATTAGAAGTTGTCATTATTACGTCATAGGAAAATAAAATATCAAAGAAAGAGAACTGTATTTTCATCACGTGCATGTATGCTTATTCTGTTATTCATATAATGAATGATTTTTGGTAGAGTAGATTTATAGATGATAACTGTATCTAGAGCATCTTTTTTTTTCTTACACGTGTCTCGTCTAAAAGTCAGTATTTACAGTATATCAAGTGATAAGTAAGTGTGATAAGATGAATTTTTTTTTACAGCTACACTATTTAAAATCATATTAAAACTTTATAATGATAATACTAGATATCTAATTTTTGTTAAACAAAGTTACTGCATTATTAACACATTTTAAGTGTACACCTTTCGTCAGGCCTCTTGTCCATGTAAACCGATAGATGTAAAATTCTGTTTATTGAGGCTTAAGTTTACTAGTATTTCTTGTATATGTTTGTTTAAAGTTTTAACTGATTGTTATTTTAACCAGCCGTTTATAATAATCTGTTTGTGATATAATATCACGGAGTGAATAGACACACATTAGTAAGTATAATCCTCTATATATTTAAGTCATTCAAGTATGATTATAGAAAGTTTGCAGATTCTCTGAAGCAAAAAAGTTTTCAATTACAGATACTTTGTAAGAGATAAGATATTCAACAGCTGAATTCCAAATAGGTCAAAACACTACCTTACGAAGAATCTTGTGAGTGAATGCAAATATCCAGTCAACCGGTTCGCGATGTACATTATATCAACAGATACTAAACAAAATTCGATCCTTACATCAACAGTACAACAAATAAATAGGTGAATATTTTCGATGAGTGCAATACATTTCGAACAATCTGATCATACATACACTTGTTAAGAATATTTATATATGGCAATGAAAGGTTAACTAGACACATGGAAGGTAAGGTTAATGTGAAAACACAATGTGAAACTAACCAACCTGGATAATTAACACACTATTACCAAGTTACGTTTAAGATGAGAACAAATTGTTTTTAAATACACAAAGAAGGTTTAAACTTTCGTATGACCGAAACTTTAATAACCCCTTAGAATATCTCCTTGAACATTTTTATACAACACAATAAAAGCCGAATTAAGATCAGCCTCAACTGTGTTTCACAATAGAAGACACTGGATGTTTATCAGATGCTCGTATTACGTTATTTGATTTCGTTTGTTTTGCCGACCGTTTAGGTACATGTTCAAACACCATTCACAAATCAATATCACTGCTCCCTATGTGTGTGTATGTGTGTGTGTGGTCACACACATTCCAATCGATAAACACAATAAGTCGTGATGCAGTCTTTTATATGCGTTTTAAGTCTTCAATGAAGCATGAACCTTGTTAAGTAGTACGTCTTACTGATAACAGATCTGAGTCTTTGTTTGAATATGAAGCTATTTAACTCACTTCTGAACGGCATATTGATATAAACAGGTTTCTTTTGTGGAAAAGAGGTACTAGGTCCAACTACACTATGCCCTTTTCATCACCACTTATTTGAATAATCTCATTTCATTTTCAATAACATCATTTGTACAAATATAATTAGTACAGCTGAAGGCCTGATTGAAATTATATACCTTTAATCTGACACTCTATTTGTCTAGTTGATTTTTCATCTATAAATATTCTTAACAAGTCTCTATGTGTGATCAAATTGTTTGAAATGTATTACACTAGTTATATCATATCATATAATGCTAACAATCTTTGTCTTCTCATTAGACTATTGAAAATTTATCAAAATGATTATAGATTTGATTCTTTTTTAGTCACGCTAATGTTTTATCTGTTGTATTTAGACATCAAACAGTACATTTGATCCAGTGATAAGGATTCTAATTGAAAGATAAACAAACTTTAAAAGAAAAATACTAATTGATCTATGAAACAGCATTGTCTTTTTTATTTATTTTAAAATCTACAGTTAAAATATTTGTCATTATTGATTAGATCAATCTTCATTTGGTTGATAATTTAAACAACAGTTGACTTACCTAACTATATTTAATCCTAGTCTATTATAGGTAATTTGACAGTTAAAAATGAACACAACACACAAACAAGCACACATAGCTTGAGATTTGACATTTCTATGAGATTACTAAGCGATGTATTCAATTATCTCAAGAGATAATTCATTTCATTTTATTTTATACGTTTAATACATAGAAAGTGTAGAATAACTAGCGAATTTCACTACAATATAAGATGATATTTCTATATTTTAATGTATAACAATGGTTAGATAAAATAACTGTACTATACTATACATTGGTTCCATTTTCAATCAATCAATCAATTTCAAATGTTTAATAATTTAGACTTGGTGATAAATTTTATTTTAGATTTTCTCAAGTGATCTGGCTCTACTTCTATCGCACATGCAACAACAAATGCAAGAGAAGACGATCAGTGTAGCAGTAGCCACAAAAATAAATCTTACCAACTGAATACATGGGCTTTTCTACTTCCTCTATACGTAATAACACCTTCATGATTTAAACCCATATAAAAATGATTCCCTTTACGATCCTAGAAATGTAAACAAAAGAGAAAAATAAAAAAAATTCAATACAATTAGACTGGCTTTTATTAGGTTTGAAAATAGATGTAATAAGATCAAATTGAAATCATTTGCATCATCGCATTGTTAATAGTTTGACTGAAATTTGACTAGTGTCTCATTTGATATATGAGTATCCAGTGTACATTGCCTGACAATCGGTTTATAAACGAAGTTAGATAATGGCTAACAATGGAATCCAGTAGGACTGTTTCGTCCTATTTGAGAATCATATTTAGCTGAATGTCCATGTAACTCAAAGAGTTGATGTTCACTTCGAAACTCACAACCAATACCGTTAGCTCTGAACATCATCGTAATATCTACTAAGCTACTGAATGTAGATAGCTACTCTTTTGTGCAACAGGTATAAGATCAAGTTCAATTTGAAATGGTTTCCATTATCTTATCGATTGTTTTGACTAAAAATTTGATCAGTCCTCGTTAGGTGCATCAAGACAATCCGCATAAGATGCAAGTAAATCCATTTGCAGATAAGTCTTAAATAGAACAAAATGTGCATCCTGGATTTCACTGCTAGCCAGATGTTATTCATTTTACTTAGATATAATGAAAGGTTCAATCAAATGAACATTGTATGATAGTACAGTGAATACATTATTATCATGATTATTTCTTTAGTAAATCCTGGTATAAGTAAATGAAGAAAATTGTCTGTTATGTAGAAATCTATTAATATAGTCAGTAAGAAACTTGAGTATTTTTAGTACTGATCACAAGAAGTATTTTTTTATAACGCGATTAGTAAATTACATTTATTCGAGAAACAATTTCAACTTCTGTCGGGAACACAGAATTCAGTTGGAAAGTGTCCTAATTTTGAATTTTTGATGTTTTCGTGTATAAATCGCTTAGTCGACCTTGAGCACACATTTCCCATTTAAAAAATCCTTGACTGTCATTGGTTGATGTATTACTTTAATAGGCTATTTTGTTTATAAGTTCGATTTGCGTGCTTAGCAACCTCGTAATTTCAGAGTGCTTATAGAATACACTGTCTATGCCTTACCAAGACTTGTTGCTTGTGTTAGCTGGGGTTGGGATCAACGGATTCGAATAACCTATTGCGTTCCTCCATCATTTGTCTTCGTTGCGTTTAACGAGTAAGGTGAATTCGTAATAGCATTCAAGCATATCAACTTCAAAAAAAACATCTAAACTAAGTCAGAATTTATTTAGCTCTTAAAAAAACTCACACACTGACAATTTATCAGCCACTTGATTAGAAAAATGAAATTTTTCGATCAACTAATTGCATAATTACTTGAAAATGACTGATTCGAATGAAATGTATACATACATTCAATGGACATTCGATTCGAGCTGATTTTCAGCACTAAATAAGCAAATTTTAACCTTATTATTGAACTTCTAACCAAGCATCTGTCAGTTGGTGTAAGCTTTGAACATACACTAACTAATCGGACTGCATGATTTTCTGAGTATATCTAGACATATCTATTCCAGTGTGAGATAGAGGTGAAAATATGTTCACATTGTAAAAAATAAAAAGGTAGACACAATTCATGATGATTTAGTGCAGAAATTAAAAAGAAATAACTGCTGAAACTTTGTAGATAGATGTAATTTTTCTAGATTTTTCTATTGATATAAACAAAAGACTTTACAATACTTTCTTAAAATAACACAGACAAAAGCGAACAATATTGTTGTTTTCAATCAGATCGTCAACAGTCTTCACTCTCTAATATACATGAGTATGTGTCATATGAAAATAGTAAACCAATGAAGGCAATTTACAATGAGTCAATAATCACAATGAAATAGAGTTTACGTAACTACACATAATAGGCAAAATGTACAAGTTGATAGTAGGAAGACAGTTTAGTACTGATAGTAGTAGTAGTAAGAATAATAAAATAAAATGTTATGACAAAAGACGGGATCGATCTCGTCTCCTACATTTAGTAGAAGCCATAGGAATCCAAACATTCGACCCCAATGTATGTGTTCAGAAGAAATTCATAACACTCCTAGTCCCTTCCTTGGCCGGATATAATATAATAAATAATTCTGAAAATTCTTTTACTATCATTAGTAGTATCTTCACATCCTATATATGTGTCTGAATTTTTTTCGCCTCTGTACGCTTATAATGTTGATTATCTAATCATTTACACACTTCATAGTAGGCAATTTAACACTGAGCTTTGTAATGATTATTTTTAGGCGATTTATCCACGTTTGACCTAATAGTTCAAATGTTCAACCAATAATAAAACGTTTTATTACTTACTATCAGTACACCTGTGTCTTCCTACTATCAACTTGTACATTTTGCCTATTATGTGTAGTTGCATGCTCTCTATTTCATTGTGATTATTGACTCACACCTAATTGCCTCGATTGATTTAACACTTTCTTAGGAAATATTCATGTATATCAACGAGTGAAGCCTGATAATGACGATCTAATTGAAAACAACAATACTGTTGGCTTGATAAGTGTTGTTCTAATGCTCACAATGGAAATCTTTAATATTTTAAAATTCTTTCTTAACTCATGAAATTGGTTATTTTCCATCCTGATTATAGGCTTTTACAAATTCTATATGGTATAAGTTAAGTTGCATAACTCTAATTCAAGTGGATATATGAAATTCGATATACTATGATTTTTTTATGGGTTCCGAGATCTCATATCATCGAAACCCCAATCTTCTGCATTACTGCTGATACTTCTACTATCTCTACCACCAAGGGACTTTAACTGACAGTTACATCTCTGTGCTAATGCGATATAGTAACCTGAACTTATGTCACTCATGTACGAAGTTCTACGTTGTGTATGACTAACTGACTGACTAACTATGAGTTCTGTGAATTATTTATTCATTTATTTTAAATCAAACTTTGTAAAATATTTTACTAAATGTGAAATTACTTGATTACTACTACTACTACTACAATTACTAATACTACTAATAATAATAATAGATCAGTAAGCTTGCCATAATTGCCTATTCATGAGAATAATTAACGTTGAAAAAAAATATTCAGAGGAAAAGAAAACACCGCGCTTTTAGAGAAAAACAAAAAGGAAAAATAATCTGTGCGTGAAAATTGTTGGGTTTTTTTGTTTTACTCTAAAAATTGTTCTTTTCATTGATTTCAATTTATAAAAAAAATGATTAAACTAAGTGATATTTTCACTAAAAAAAGAAAAAAATCTGATTGTTGTGTTACGATTCTATGTTTGAAATATGCTAATATTTAAAAACTTTATGATTGAAAAATACTCTTTATTTTTAACCATCTTGATAAGCTTCATACTTATCTATTCACCATTTTCATAACACTTTAATGCAATATCAAGATGTGTGTCGATTAGTGACTAGCTTTGTCCGGTTCTCGGAGTTCTTTGTTAAAAGACGTGACCAGTGGAGTTCAACCCTATCGAGTGTAGGCAGTAAACTACCGAAGACAAATGGGTGAGGTTGAAAAAAAATCCTTAGATTAGACATTAACACTACTCGATGTCGTCTCAGTGGTCCAGAGGTTGGAGGTTTGCGCTCAAGACAGAAGTTCCTGGTTTCAAATCCTGCCAATCGCAGGAGTCCAAGATGAGCACTGTTCACAAGTTCCATACGAAAACGTTAACAATACTTTATGAAAGCATTTCTCTTCTGAACATAGAACCTCAAGTAAAGTTCTAAGTAGGCATACGCTTGTCACTTCCTAGTTATCAACACTTTGGAAGAATAGTTTCACTTGAAAATTAAGAATTGGATTAGTAGTAGTCCTTTAAAATCTAAAAACCTGATAGTCGACAGACTAAAGTATAAATGTTTGAGATTTTAATTTTTTTTTAAAAAAAGCTGCTATTTCACGGATAGTTTACATTGTGTTAGTTTTGTACTTTTAAGGCATCAACCTGTATCACCAGAATTCCATGAGGTCAAATAAAATGATAACAGTTTTATGGGACGTTTTTTACCAAAAACCATTTATATATATATATATATATATATATATATATTTATGAATTTATCCTAATAAAAGGTTAATTTTACAGTCAATTCGCTATGTAAAAAGAGTGTAACCGTTTTATTTTTTGTTTGTTCACTGTTAATCATTACACCTGAGTAATTTGTATCAATGAATAGTAGTAGTTGGTTATTGTACTTTAAATGAGGTAATCATTTGAATTCATTTCATTTGTAATTATTCGGGTAAAGGACATTAATTTTTTTTTAAAAATATTTCGTATTTAATTGTTTAAGGCTATTGAAAATCACTAATTGAAAATGCTTTGTTTACCGGTAGAAAGTGAATCTGAATTTGGTAATTTACTTCTATTAGTAATGTACCGTTTGAGATGTTAGATGATTGAATGTAGTGGATAGGAAAGTCTGGATGTAGTGTCCATGAGTTCAGTGGTATGTTCTCAAACTGTAAAGCTGGATGACACAAGTTTGAATCCTTCCCCCGTCGGGGAGCATAACTTCCCCCAAGATTACAGAGACTCGGTGGTACTGAGTGTCAATTATTTTGGAATATAGGTCAAGTGGGGTTGCCTATGAGCTATCTAAAACCACGATAAAACTTCAAAATAATACACATTAATCTGATTTCCTTAGACTCATAATCACATTGTAATATAATCGACAGAATTGGACTAGCGGCAGTTACAAGAACAGAAAACTGATCAGTCAAATAAATCAATATGATTTGAAAGATCTTTCCACATTAATCTATTCACAAAACTGTGACACTAGAAAATACCACGGAAAGTAATGTAGGCACAATTTAGTGTAATGATGTCCGGAATAGGTAAGAATGTCACGATAAATAACTCATGATGTTTATGGTTATCAACCAAAAGGAAAGTTTGTATGTAACAATGCTTCATATGGTCTGATGAAATCATCAGTAATGACCTGTTTTCAACGTACTTGACATTAGAGTCAACACTGACTATTCATATT